GTCGAAAGTGCTAATGATAACGGTGCCATCTTCCCGGAGCATCTATTTTACTTAAAGACTTGAAGATGGGGGGAAAGCTAAGTGGTAAATAATTTAAAATTTGATTTTTATATAAAAACGCATTTTTAAAATTGTGATAGAATTCATATCACCGTGATTGCTGCTGCTTTGTTTTTTTTTTTTAACCAGGAATCTTTCAAAGGAACTTTTTGTTTGAGAGAGCTTGCTTCATACGGTCTCAAATCCCCCGATCTTTGGGGTACTTAAATAGGGCTGCTTTTAAGTCCTGGATTAAATATCAGCGTTACGCTTTGAGAAGCAGTGTGATGTAACGCAGGAAGCCCAGGATTAGAGGGTCAGGGTTTGTGGTCCTAGGTTAGGCACAATTTTCTTTGTTCTTTAAAGAAAGCTTAGTTGTTGCACTGTTTATCCGTGAATCTGGACTAGATTCTAGGTGTCCTAACTCCTGAATGAATCGAGGTTTTCACATTGTGTGGATTTTGTGAAGTAATGAAGAAAATTACTTTTGTCTGCAAAGATGCTTTTTATGAGGAATCCACCCACAGTCATCCTTCACATAATTTTAAATAATAAGAGAGTTACATAAAGTTATTGGGTACCAAATTAATATCTACAAATCAGTAGCCTTCAAATAGACAAACAACAGCAGTTAGAGGACATCATAAAAAAAAAACCACTGTTTACTAGAGCAACAAAAAAAATATGTTGAGGAAGAAACAAGAAATATGCAGAACTATTATAAGAGAATTTAAAAATACTACTAGGGGATATAAACATAAGATGTGAACAAATAGATATACCATGTTTCTCTGTAAAAAGATGTAAAGAAATGTGTGCAAACTTAAGTAAATTTATTAATTTAATGAGATCCTAATAAAAGTATCTACAGTTTTTGTTTTCTTTTGGAACTAGATAAGCTGATTCTGCACTGTATAAGGAAAAGCAGACAAGCTAAAGTAGCCAGTAAAACGGAATAAAAAGCAGTTGCGGTGTGGCAAGTGGGAGCCCAATGGTAACATATTTGAAAATATAAATCCTTGGAAATTAGTATAGTATTAGTATTAGCATGAAGGTGGCCTAGGAAGGGCAATTCAGCAATATCTTTAATAACTATAAATGTATTTTCTTTTTGACATCTGGAAATGAATCCTACAAATGTATCTGCATTTGCATGAAATGATACAGGTATGAGGTTGCTCATTGCATTAGTGTTTGGCATAGGAAATGGTTGGAAACAATTCTTGCCCATCAGGATACTTTTCTAACAAAATTATGGTACATGTATACAACAGAATAATGTGCAGCTGTACAAAAGAATGAAGAGGAAGCTTTCTATATACTGACACTTGAAAAAACTCCAAAAATATATTACATGAAAAAAGCAAGATGTATGGTATGCTTCATCTGGAGTAAGAAAGGGGAGAAATAAGAATATATATTTTTATTTCCATTAAAAAACTCAAAAGATACGCAAGAAACTAATAATAAAGTGGCTATCTGTTGGCTGTAGTGGTGCAGGGATAGGGCAAAGGCAAATACCTTTTTATGTTTGTTTTATAATTATATGAATTTAGTATATATTCAAAAGTTAGAGTATTTTGTTTTTGTTTTNAAAATGAAGTTAAAAAAATCTTTTAATGAACATTAGGTGTGTAGGGAGCAGGGAAGGATATGGGCCTTTCAGTTCACCTCCAGGGCACTCAATAATTTACTCCAATGGCACATACTGGAGACAAGGTCAGGTTGGTGGTAGGAGGGGTGATGGTGGTCTCTGTTGGCAAGCAATTTCAGAAGAAGGAAAGAAAAGCACATCTTGTAAAACAAGACGGGTTTCAGGGAAAGAAAAAAATCTGATGCACCTTGAACTTGGCTTTGGATGTTCAATAGCAGTTATTTCCTTCTCTCAATCTTTCTCTTGGAGAAGAGTCAAGAAAAAAGAATTATGAGGGACCAGGGCATTTTTGAAGGGTCATCTCTCCATCCTCCCACACAGGGTAGGGAAGTCAGAGAAGACTGGACATCATGCCCAACCTAGTGTGTTGCAGATTAAGGCTGAGATTATCACTATCTAGGGCCACAATGTGTCCTAACTTCACAGGTTCTGCAGTGATCAGAGCACTGGAGTCACAGGCACCTCACACCCACACACTTGGTGCTCAAATGGTGTCACACAAACACAACCACACATCCACTCTTGAGACACACAGGACACAACCACACAATCGCAGACACCTCCACACCCTTATACATAGTCATAATCTCATACCTACCAAGAAAACACAATCACACAATCTTACCACCATGAAACACCAGATGACTCTCATATAGTCACAGACTCCCTACACTAACACCCACAAATGTCCCACATAGTCACAATCACATACCCAGTTAGGGGATACACAAAGTCACTGGCACCCTACTCTGGCCCACTCAACATCAAGTAGTCACAATTGAACATTCACTCTGGAGACACACAGTCACACTTACACAGGCAAAGACATCCCCCATCTGCACATCCCAAGGGACACAACAGGGATACACACTCAGTGTCACCATACATAGATACACGACAATTGCACATGGTACCACACACGTCCATAATATTGTAGTCAGTGGTCAGGTAGGTTGGTCACGCAGCGTGAACCTGCAGCTGAGGAGAACAACCTTGAGCCGTATCCGTTCTCTTTCGGAGTGTGCGCCCCTTAGTGCATCAAGCTTTCAAGCTTTCGCTTTAATAAACCTTTCTCTGCAAAACTGTATCGCCCACTCTCTTGATTTCTACACTGAGAGGGGCAGGGACCCCTGCGCCAGTAACTTATCACGCAACCAAAACCATACATCCACCTTGGAGATATGAAATCATAACCACACAGATACCCGCACCCATCACACATTTACGACTACTTCCACACCTCAGAGAACAAGGTGTACGGTCACACATACACAACAGGGACATAAGCAGTTATCACCCCCAGTCACAAGGACCCCACACTCCAACAGGTCACACATGGTTACACAAACACAACCATACACCCTGGAGACAGGCGATCACAACAGCACACTCACAGGCACCCAACCACACCTGGTCACACAGCCACAAACACGCATTCAGAATCTGGCTCCCTCAACCCGCTACCGCCGGCACGAACAGACCCGAAGCTCTGGACACGCCCCGTCCCCGCCCCGGACTCCCAGACCCCTCACCTTCTGCCTCCCCGTGGTCGCGTCCGGATCCCTGCGGAGCTAAGGATCTCGCCACGACGTCGATTCACGTAACGTGAGCCGCTGTGGACTCTGGGAAACATAGTCCAGAGCCCAGTCACAGACAAAATGGCGTCCCCACACATCAGAGTCTAAGCTTGGCCTGTTTGAGACTGCGCCCGGGAGGCTTTAACGAGGGCGTCCCCACTCCAGACAGCCCAGCTGGCTTGAGCTGATTTTCCTCCAAGGTAGGACTAACCCTGAGAGTTCCATAATCATAGAAAGAGGCAGCAAAGCTCGCGTAGGAGACAGAGTGTCGACCAGCAAAACCTTATGGGAAATGTAGTCCAAGGCCAGAAAAGGAGCGCCGCTGTTGATAGAAGGTAATCAGATACCAGCCTGGGCCTGGCTGTGATGACGGTGCGTGCTGCGTCGCAGAGACTTGTGGGAGAGCTCAGTAGCCATCGTAGAGCGCAGGCGCAGCGCACGGAGTGGACATTTTGGTCTTTGTCCGTGGGTCAGTCCGGCCCATGGGTCCACGTGGCGTGAAAGTAGGAGGTGGGATGTGGGCGTCTTGTGTCGGTCGGGTCCGGGAGGTTGAAGGGGAGG